AAATTCAAAATCTTATAAATTTTATTATATTTTTTGTTTCTTAATATTATACGAGGATGGCTGAATTCATCATGCCATACATACATCGACGGTAAGAAGACACAAAAATATATTATTAAATCTTGATCATTACGGTATGTATTTAATCATCTCCTATTTTGCATTTCAAACATGCTTTTAGGGAATGCCTGTTATGCAGTATTGGATAGGATTAAAGAGGCATGTCAAGATTTTAATCATCTTTTTGAAATAATAGTGTCCAGTCTACCTAACAGAACACACCATTAATGTATAAAATGCATTAAAAGCGTATCATTATTTTTTGGTCACCTTTAGGCTTAAAAGTAAACCACTAAGTGCAACATCTTTGGGTATTTTTTGGGCTTATAAGCATGTTTGATTAGTTGATAAGTTAGTCCAAACATAATTAAGTTTAGTGGAATATTTATAAGGATGTTAAGTGGGGTGAGCCACTAGCCGACTTGTCAATGGCTTGCGAGCCTGATGGTGGGTGAGCTGAACGGTTCAACTTGACCCATTTAACACCCCTAAATTTCTATAATCCCATAATCATGCTTGAATACTATCTATCACTTATTTATGTGCATCAACATTTTTTTTTCTCATATTCAAGATTTAATCCTCAATATTTTCTAACAAAGACATGACAATTATCTTGTATTTCCTATTTGTATGTGGTAGAATCATTTCAAGTTTCCAATCGAAATCAATGCCATCATTGGAGTAATTAATAAAATCACCTCAAAAAATCACCTCTCAAAACTAAGCAACAAAATGCATGAGTGGTAGGGCCTATACACATGCTATGCATTGTCCAGTTTCTATATAAAGATGGTGATGTCTTGTAGTTTCCATATCTTAAGACTTTTAAGTACTAAATCGTATTATCATGTTTCTTTTTGTCTGTCTAAACCTGCCATTTTCTATCATTTCTTGGTGTCTATATCTTCTTTACATACAGTAATATACACTACTACTGCACCAACTAAGAATTCCATGTATTGTCCCACACGACTTCGAATCTTCATTTAGTTTGTGTCTAGATACATTCACAACAATGCAGTTGTTCATGATTGAGTGAAATAATGTAATATTCTTGGACGTATGTTAATGACGTTGACTACAGTGATAGGCGCTAGACAGAATTAGAGTTTTTCACTTTTCACGATAACTAATAACTATCGTGAAGAACTTTGAACTTGGAATTCTGAAATTTGCATTACTGTCTTTATATGTCAAAGATATCAACTATTGAGATGGGTATTAGACTACACTGGATTTTTACAAGGATCATGCTAGATGTACTTAATTTTTTTTACCTAATTCCCTATCGACAGCTTACAATAGGGGTGGGCGAACATTTTGGAATTTTTTTATTCACGCTGATCCCGCGTACATGTGAGAGGGGGTAAACAATTCGGTAAACCTTTGAGTGTATAAATAGAATCATTCTTTCCACAATAGATAAAAAATATTGTGGAATCGTATGAATTTGGAACTCTACAATATGCATGATTGTCTTTGAATATTATTTAATATTATGATCAAAATCATGTAGTTCTAGAACTAAAGAAGATTTAAAAAAGAAAATAGTTAAACTAATCTTAAAAGTTAAAAATCATCTATCAAAGAGCTTCACCCCAAAAAATCAGATGATAGTTTTAGTATAATGCTAGTAATGCTGCACATGTTTTGTTAGGGAAAGCTGCATTTTTCTGCTAGTGCAGGTTGTTCTTGAGATTCCAGCTCACAATTTTTCATCAATTTCTCTTTTGGATGTCTTTGATAGATGATTTTAATATGTTTAGTTCAGTAGACTGGACACAATAATTGACAAACATCAAGAATATCGTTCTTTTTTACTTATGCAATCTAGAATATCATATGATAAATGTTCAGATAAACAGTGATGAAACATCTAACAGTGTCTTGAACAAATGCTACATAGGACCATATGTTGCTTTCACAACCTAAGCTGCCAAATTTTGAGTATCATTAGAATATTGATCTCCCAAGCAATTTTGAGTATCATTAGAAGTTGACTCTATCGTCCTAGACAATACTAAGGAAGAAAGTGAAGCTAGCTACATTTTTATTCATTGCATTGTCCAAACATACCTTAAACGAATCTCTATGCAATTCGTAGCTGAAACAGCCCACTCAAGCATCAACTTTACCTATTGGCACCAACAATTAATGATAAAAGTCACCAATAAGTAACACGATGCCATGTTCATTTATAGTCATTTCCATATAATCTTTCCACAGGTTCTTCAAATATTGGAATCAACATTTCATGTTTAAGAAAAAGCATTATGAAGAGTATTTAGCAACTATGGTCGTGTTTTGCCCTCACATGTTGTAAGAACGTCTGTCGAGTTCAAGGGCGGAACTTCTCCAATAAGCTTCCAAAAAAGAAGCTCGTCTTCGGCCATCCACTTGCTTCTAGTGCCTTTCTATTTGTTGGATCTTTTTTCACATTAAGCATCATTGTGTGTCCAATTTCTTTGCGCAGTTCTTCAATTGTTTTCGTGTCTACTGGATTTCCAGAAGAATCAGTCACATAGAAGACATTCATTGCTTGCTCCCCTACAGTTGAGACGCCTGCTCTTGTAACCAATAGCCCATTTTCTCGAAGAACTCGTGTTACTTCTGAAAGTAGTCCTACCCGGTCCTTTGCACATAGCTCCAAGCTTAGACCCTGCATCATGTTCAAAATAAAATTTAAGTCAAAATTTTTCACCTGATAAGAAGATAGGAAATGCTTAATACTCAAAAAAAGTAATGAAATCACTCCATTACCTCACTCACTCTGCGTCGAATTGCAGCTTCAAGACACTTGATTACCTTTTCTTTCTCTCCTTCAGTGTCTAGGGTGCAACCATCCATGTGACGAATATAATATTCCTACACGCCCAACACGTTTAAATAGTTACTAGAAATGAAACCCAAAGGTTAATACTAATGGAAAAAGGCATATGTACAGGCTTTTCCTTCATAGAAGTTTTACACGAGCTGCATTGCAACGCAGCACTTGAATGGATCGGTTTTTTATGTTTTGTTTTTTCTTTTAACTTCCAATGTAATGATGCCAACTGTAATCCATGAAGAAATTCTGGGAACAAATTTTGTACATGTAGCGTGAATCATTACTTAATAGCTTAATCATGGAAGGTTTTGTATTTTTGTATTTTTTTTGGGGTGAGAAAATGTTTTTTCCAGCCTACCTCAGGTTAAAGCAATATTTTGTACACATCAATTCGTTAGAGAATGAAAAGTGAAGCTACCTGAGAGGCATAGGGGCTGTCAGACGAGACGGTGGCATGAAAAACAACATATTGCATATCAGTGAGGGTGCAGACGATGTCAAACAAAAGCTTTGGCCTATCTTTGCACCTAACAGTGACCACCGAGTACCCTTTCTCCTCACATCGGTCAATCGAGATCTTTGGTTTGAACGATGGAGGAAAATCTGGCTCCGTTGATGAACAATTACCTTCATAGTCCCTATCTGCAAACAACAATTGGTGAAGTCGTCTATCAACATGGGTTGAACCCATGGAGAAACTCGTATGAGCTAGTTTATCGCCATTTCCACAACCTTGAAGAATGTTTTTTATCTGCTCCTCCATAGCAGATAACTGAGAGGGGTCATCCACAGCACGACAGGTCGTATCGTCATTAACATAAAGGACACATGCTATACGCCTGTTATGAGTCCAAACTTCAGCAGCAACAACGTTAACATGAAGATTGGCAAGCACAGCAGAAATCTCGGATAAGAGACCTGGACGGTCCCTGCCTATAAGCTCAATGACCGTATAGTCACCCATAGAGTTCACCCCCACCCTCTTCCCAGGCAAAGTCTTCAATATGTCTGAGGTATGTCCCTCGGGACCTAAGACCTATTGTTAAGTATTTCAAAATAATATTAAAAATGGAAAAAAATTTACTTTTTCTGAGTTAAAAGATTCACAAGCCTCAATTTGCGGTGGCAAGATTTTTGCAGTTCATTCAGACTCCAAAATGAGGACTCTACAATGGGGAATCAATATCAATGCATAAGATATCTTTATGGACAATGCATTTATCGGATACCCTTATTTGAAATTGATAATGAGCACTGAGTGAACTGCATTACATTTAGGATGGTCCTCACCGAAATCCATATGTACGATGTAGCATAGCTATCTGGAATATGAAAAGCCATGCCTTAATAAAATTAGTCTGCTCGGTTTTACCAAGAGCAAATTAAAAATAACAAGCCTCACGTATTGTTTCTATAGTCATAAGAATGGAGCAAAAAATATACTTCATTGACTATATTATGCATTAGGACCCACAAATATTGCTAGGTAAAGGAAAAATATGCTTTATAATAAGTAGAAAATGATATAGATTTAAGCTATATACCGAATTTGTTACCTACATCATATTTCTTTATTCTTTTCATTTTCCTTGTACTTAATGCAAAGAACAACAGACGGGAACTATGTTTTTCAATAAACAGGACTTGAAGCTATCTGTGAACAAGTTTTGAACATTATTTTTAAACCCAATATAAATAAATCTTACCTTTTCTATGTAATCAATAGTTTTGCTGTCTGCAATTTTCTGCCCATGTGGATCAGTGACATGAAACACTGTTGAGAAAGAATTGCAACAAGAGCGTTAGACAGTGCCATGACATAAGGCACCTCCAATTGATGTCTCTGTCAAAGACCCTTCTCTAACAGCTTAGGCTTTTAGAGACGTGGTTCAACATGTAGTATAGCATCATAACTAACAAAGGTTCTTGGCTCAAGTCTCCCCATCACCCATTTAAATTGTGCGTATGATAGAGCATTGATATCAAAAATGAATCTTGCATGTGAGCATGAAGAAGACAAAATGTAAATAAATAAATGTCTTTCCTTACTAACAGCTTAACTTTTTAGACAAAATAGTTCAACAATATCAGTTTGTTAGTTTCTTGCATAGGCCTGACCCTTGTAGGATATGTCCCACTGGAAAAACAACAGATAAACTAACATGTCTATCATGCACACTGAAAAGCTTTAATTTCATCAATAGAGCAATAGAAAGATATATAATTAAGGTTATCTTTCAGCCAGTTCAGTGGTTCGAGGATTATTAGTTCATATACATGGTTTTTTTTTTAATAAATCCATTGCAGAAGACTCAAGCCTCGTAAAAAGAGAAAGTGTTCCCCTTCCTGAAGCTATATTATCATCAAGGAAATATTAATAAGAAAAAAGCATGCGTACCGTCCATAAACCAGCCTCCATCTGAAGATATGTATGCTTTGGTAATTATAAGATCAAGATCCGTAAGGATTTGCACCACCTCCAGTAGTATCCCCGGCTTGTTCATGCTGTCAACCTGAGTGTTACAAAAACTCTATATCATTCCATCACAAGTATAAATGATTGATGTTTGCATTTATCGTGCACGGTAATAAACTCTAATGACAAGAGAATATGAGTGCAAACAATAAAGCAAATTTCAAGTACTAATGTGATCAGACCGCTCAACCTACAACCACGGTATAATGCTAAAGGACTATATTTGACGATAATGTTTTTCTCTTGAGTGAGACAAAAGAACCAAATTGCCTTTAATTGAATGAAATACTACACAACACATTAAGCAAGGAGTTACTACTCATAAGTAGACCTCCAGAGATATAGTAAGAGATTATAGAAAAATCAAGGGATATACTGGAGCTGAGGAACAGTCAAGTAAGGAGAACTGGAGTAAGTGTATATGTTCGGCATATGCCAAAATGTTTTCCTCTTTAAGGCTTATAAAAATGTAAGGTTTATAAAAATGCAGTACATGCTCATTAATAATGAAACAGCAAGCTCTATCCAGATTAAACTCGGCGTTGAATGAGTCAAATGTTTGTTTAAACTCGGCGTTGAATGAGTCAAATGTTTGTTTCACATCTATCATGGGATTAGTTGTTGAATAAATTGATGGATAATTTTTATTTTGCTAACCAAAAATACGTGCATGTAAAGATGATAAAATTGTGATTTACACATGCAAAAATATAGAAATAAGGAGTGATGAAACGAAGTATGCAAATGAAAATATCCTTGAGACGGAATTCACTCTCTGCACTGATGCCAAAGCTTCTTTAAAAATTAATATCTCACAATACAAATTTTGTCGGACGAACCAGCTTGACTGTACTTTTCTGGACCAGAAAATATTGAACAAGAAACTCGAAAATATTATGAAAATTATTTTGATAGAATTTGGAGAAAGAAAGAATTAGAAACCGATTGTGTGGAACTGATTTGGAGTGAAGTAAATGGAATTAGGAGTGTCCTATTTATAGATTTTCCTGTGCCTCTTTCAATGGTTGCATCTTTTGGCAAAATTAATTTTAACAATTAGATCGCATCATTTCATAGTTAATGTATAGATTGCACCCTGTTAAAAGGTCGTGACTTTTCGTATGCATCTTTTTGGGGATGTAGTACTTATTGATGTTCATCATGCTCGTTCTAAGATTGATAGTAGGACTAGTAAATATCTTTTCCTAAAAATATTCTCCAACTCAACAAGATTATAAATGTTTTGATCCTATTTCTAATAGACAATACATTTTTGAAACCACTTTTATTTTTACCAAACTTCTCTTCAAGAAGACCATTCTCTTTCTCTTAGGGAAGATGAGTTTTGGAATGATTATAGTTTGTCTTTAGCGGTTTCCACAACTTTTATTAATTTTGCACCTGGTATTTTGCTTCGCACATTAACTAGATTGCCTAAGCCAGAAATAACTAGTTTGCTCAGCCAGAAAAAAAAAGTTAGTATCAAATTGCTAAATTTAAATTCAAAGAGAGTATTACATGTACTTTACATGCAAAAAAAGGAAAACTACATTCTGAAGCATTCCAAGTCTATACTGATTGTCAATAAGATCAAAGAGATAACCAATAGAGGTGAAGGGGATTGACGAAGATTATGATTTAACATAATTATGTCTATAATTGTATTTTCCATATTTAGGTTGATTACATCTACCATAATTAGATTGAATTATTCCTTTATAATATATTTACCATAGTTAGATTGATTATATCTACCATATTTATATGATATTATTCCTATATAATGTAAGAAATTCCAATTTGTCATGGTATCAGAGCCTGCAAACTTTTACTGAATCCTCAGTTTTCATTGGTCATAACTCAGCCTTTTAGGTGTTGGTTTCTAGTGGTTGTCAACGGTTGATAGAATTTGTTGTCAATGTGTGACTCTTGTGGTCTGTTTCTTGTGGCGATCGACAATTGACATAATTTTTGTCAACGTGTGACTCTTTGGTGCTTTAAGGAAGATTATCTTTGAGTTTTTGATGTAGGCTATTCAGTGGGATTTCTTCTAATTGTAGCATCTTGGCCAGCAATAAATGGTTGGATTTTTGGTCGATGCTTTAACTGTTAGAGCTTTTGTTGAAACACAAATTATGTGTTTGACTGAGTTCTCCCAATTGATAGAGCTTATTGTGTGTGGTCGGCACACTTGGTAAATTTTTTTTGACAATTCTTCTTGGGGTGTGAGCTCAGTGGAGTGATTTTGGAGTGTTCTTCGAGTGGTTCTTGACTGTTTTTGCACCATTTGTTGTTCTTGGGTCTCTCGTCGTCACTATTTTTCATAGATGGTTGTTGTGATTTGGGTCTCTTCTTCGTTAGCACGAGCATTGTCAACGTCATTAGTTCATGATTGCAAATTGACGCTTCTACCATAATCAATTTGAGGGTATGTCAATGAGATCAAAAGAGATCGCCAATAGAGATTACGGAGATCGATGAAGATTATGACTTAACATAATTATGTTTATAATTGTATTTGCTATATTTAGGTTGATTACATCTACCATATTTAGATTGATATTATTCCTATATAATCTAAGAAATTCCAATGGAAAGATCATTCAATCAAAAGTTTGTCACTAATTATGATATTCCTATAGCTTCTAGAGGGAGTTAGATCTCAAACACTTCATCCAATCTCACAGTTTTTGTTGTATAATAAATTGTCTCCTTCTCATCATACTTTTATAACTAATCTTTCTGATATTGAGATTTCAAAGCACAGACAAAAGTGATCCTAAATGGAGAGAAATTTTGAGGAGGTGACAACCCTTGGCAAGAACAGTAATTGTGAGTTGGTTGATCTACCATGAGGTAAAAAACCAATCAGATGTAAGTGGGTTTTTACTCTTGAATAGAAACATGATGGTAGTATAGAATGCTATAAATAATTTTAGTTGCCAGATGGTTCGCACAAACTTTTGTAATTGAATGCTAATGATTTTCTTATATGGATATTCCAGTAGGTTTTTAGGGTATTTCTGGGGTTGATAAAGTGTGCAGCTTGAAGAAATATCTATATGACTGGAGCTTGGTTTGGGAGATTTACTAGAGCTATTCAAGAGAATGTTTATCAACGAAGTCAAGGAAATCATACTCTTTTCTTTAAACATTAATTAAAGGTAGCAATTCTTAAAATCTATGTTTATGATATTAATTTAATGGGTAATTATTTGCCTAAAATAAACTGGTTGTTACTAGCAAAAGAGTTTGAAATCAAAGATCTCGATCCACTAAGTTATTTTCTTGGTATGGAGGTTGTTCGATCCAACAAAGGAATTTTTGCATCTCAAAGAGGATATGCTCTTAATTTGTTGAAGAAACTTGTATGCTAGGTAGGAAACAAATTGAGACTCCAATTGAATCAAATCATTCTCGGTTTTGCTGGCAAACTTCATTATATGCAATTCATCGTGTTCACATAGCGCTTTAATGGGAAAAAATGGAATATATGATAACCCCAGGTGGTGAAGAGCTGACATCTTGGAGCCAAACCTTCCCGTCAATGTGAGCAATTGGGGAAGATCTGTTATTTCTAGAGTAAGTTTTATTCATTGAGTGATGTCCCTTCCACTTTACACCATCTGATCACTAAGACTGACTTTCGTCTTATTTGATGGGTGGGTCTTGTAGTCAATCTCCATTCTGCCTTTGCACTCGAGGGCCAATCTCTAGTGGGAATTGTGGAAGCATTTACTGATGCAAATTGAATAAGAACTAGCTGATATCCTTGCTAAAAGGCCAACTAAACAGTGTTTGACAATTTTACAAGCAAGATGAATATGTAGATAGATATCTTTGAAGCAACTTGAGTGGAGTGTAGAATGAGTCAATTGTTTGTTCCTAGGAGTTAGCACCTATCTTGGATTTGTTTCATTTCAAATGAGTAACTGATTCTGTCCAGATTTTATAGCAATAAGTTAGCTTATATTTTAGATTTTATATTATCCATGTAAAATAATTTTAGTTCTATAAATTGTATCTGATGTGTCTCAGTTTTAATATGCAGAATATAGTTTCAGTTTTCCCTTTCTCTATTCCACTTGGGAACTGGCAAGCCTTCAAAAAATGAACTTCGTGCATTCAAAAGATTTTCGTGATGACCACTTATCACCTAAAAATGCAAGAACTGGTCGTCTATTAATGTTGGTAATGAGCTTTTAGAAAGGATGACATATTACCTTGACCAGGGTACAGTCGTTGCAACTGGTGTTGTCCACAGAGACCCTGAAACAAGAGTGACTAATACAATCAAAACAAAAAAGAACCTTATCTTGAAAATTTGGTTGATCGAATATTACATAATCGCATATCAAATACTTCTGATGGGTATTGTGAGATATTAAAAAGCAAAGAAATATATTTCGACTTCAGGCATTGTATATAAAGCAGACTGATTACGACAGCATAAGCATTTGTTGCATTGACTTCAAAGAAATCAGGAAAGGTTTAGAGACTGAACTGTGGGGGGTTTATTCTGATACTCAGAGTCTCATACTCGGGATCAAAGTAAGGCCAAGAATCTCTTGCCATTCTCTGTTTTCTGCAGCAAAAGTAGCCATTTGTTAGGTCACAAAAGTGGAAAAAGAAACTAGTACATCAATGGCCCGTTCTGTAAGGCAAATTCTAGAGTACTCGACAGTGATAAGGAAGGGGAAAAAAAAGAAAAATAGAAGATAAAATCATGTCTACTGTAATGTCGAGTCCAATACAGTAATGGCTTTGCTCATCAATTTTGTGAGAAGGAGAAGAGAGAAACTTCTCACAAGTCACCACTGATAGCAAAAACATGTCTTGTAAATTTTTTAGAAAGTAACAAGGCTACCTAGTATGCGAAAGTGCTAAACAACTTCAAGCTGTCAAAGATCAAACCGATCCCAGTTGCAGCACATTTTAGTGGATGATACAATCACATTGTACTGAGTACATCTGACCTGAAAATAAGAAAATAATGGCGGCAGCCTCATTACAATCACAAATTTTACCAGAATCAGTAGGGAAACTAGTTTGCTGATCCGCAAGAAACTGAAATCTGGTTTCAGCATGTTGTAAGACTTAAGACCAATGTGAACCACTTCCAATCTACAATGGGACTCCTATCGTATATGGAAGGGGACAAACAACTTTTACATGCAAGCACGAGTACTTTCAAGCAAGAGCGAGTTGGAACTCACAATAACAAGGAAACTAAAGAATTACCCACAAAAATTTAACCATAACCCAGTGATTTCACTACTGTAATATAAGGGAAAGGACAACTAAATACGTAGGGATCTCAAACAAGATTACACAAGAAGATGCAGATATTTATTATTACTTCCATCCCCCTTTATTATCACTTCTTATTCCTCTTAGAGCTATATTTATACTATCTTGTTCAGATACTTCTTCTTTCAACTACAATCAGAGGCATTACCTCAAATTTTGACTAAAGAGTTGTGAGGAAAGGATTGAATTGGCGAATAAGTCGAACGGAAAAAGGATTGGGATATGGAAGTAGCATTGAGTGAGACAAAGATTAGGCAGTTTTGAAGTACCAAGATTGTTTATACCCTCGGGGAAATTTGACTAATAAGATTATGTACACAGCTCTAAGCTTCATAATGATTTGAAACGTTGAAACTTTAGTTCCAGATGAATTAAATTTTAATGGGTGTATTTATTAGACACTGTGCTGGCTAAGATGGAAATCAATGCAGAGCATACAACAACACAAGATATATAAATTAGGATAGAGAATAAAATTATATCCTGGAGTAAGATTTCATTTAACGCTTGTACAACCAGACTCACTTTCAAGTACAGATGATAATCATTTCATATATTGCGATCACACAACAACAAACTAAGCTTTGTTCCCACTGAACTTAGGATGGACTTCATAGAGATCATGATTACAAAATCCTGCATAATTTCAAAGAACATACCTACACATCCTACAATAAAATTACTTCCATTAACCAAATCCATATGATGAGGTTCTGGATAGAGGCAAATTTGGCTATGCTTATAAGCTCCTTACTACCATCGATTTATCTTATTCATGTTCAAGTTGAAAACAAAGCAACTGTCTGTATACACTCCACAAAGGACATTGTGCTGTGATGAAATGACAGCGTGCTCTTGAAAGGCCTCGATACAGACATAAGGGGCACCCATTTTCCACTCTTACAAAATTGAACCTCAGTATAACACTAAAGAAATTTTACTTTTAACAATACAAATTCTTGTGGTAAAAAGTCCTTGTTTTGGTTGCTTAGTCAATAAAAGACCAAAGAATTAAAAGTAAAATTATGGTGCGATAATTCTCCATATTGCAGGACATAGTCTCCGAAAACGTAATTTTATGTGTAAAAATCTCTCAAATCAACAAATTTCACTGGCTATATGTTCCTAGTTTTTAAAAATAGACAGCTAAATGAAATTATCAATACAATTTTGCAACAAAGAGCTGCCGTTTATTTTCTTAAAGAAATGTTCTTGACAGTGATTATGTGAGAGCAAAAATTAATGATGTTTTTCACTCTTACAAAGTAAGAAACAACAGAAAAGAAACATATATGACGGGGAAAAGCTGTTAAAGGTGCCAAAAAGAAAAAAGAAAATTTTCTGCACTACTTGAACAAGAAATAATTTTCACAAAGTAGGGAATTCAAATTAATCCCTAACAGTAAATCATGACTGTTCATTTAAGAAATAATTTTAAATTCAATGATAGTCCACACAAGAAAAAAAAGAAGAACTCGTCGGCAAGAAGGGACTTTTAATTCTTGAGAGAGGTGATGTAATCTCATATGCAGCAAAGTAGACTTCGGGCATTAAAATAATACGAGTGAAGTTTATGTTTTGGAATGTCAAGCCATTTCGAGTAGATGTCGGAAAATCCTACATGTAAAAATATGTGGAATTCATCTATGAAAAGGTATAAAAAAGGGAAAAAAGAAAAATATAGTCTAGACGCCACAGATAAACTCGCAAAAGAGAAAGAGCCAGGTGACTCGCCTGTGTTCAAAAATGGAGGAGCTCTAGAGAGTTTGTAGGTGGTGGTCCGAAGAAAGCTGCGGCGGAGAAGGCCGGAAGTCTTAGGGGGCGTTGGCCACTGCCAGCTGGTGCATGGAGGATGGAGGAATCTGGAGGAGGATGTTATAGAGATGGAGGTGGGGTGGATTGGGGTTGGCGTGGGGAGTGCAAGTGGCAAAGCGTGCATATTAATTAACAAGGAATATTACAACATAATTTATTGCATTAATCATTATTAGGGGTGTAGTTGCAGTATATAATATTAAGGTAATGACGCGGCGACCAAACCGGGATTCCCACTGTAATAACTGTCACCTTCTATCAACGTTCACGCGCCATGTAACGTGTGCCTTCCTTACAACCGACTTAAATTATTTTTCTCTATTAAAAAATTATAGGGAAATTGAATCAAATGGTCCCTAACATGTGGTCTTGTTCACAAATGGTCCTTACCGTTTCATTCATAGTGTCAAACCCCTCAGCTAGGTGGAAAAATTCATTTTTGATGGGCAAAAATTTTTAATTCTCATATTTGATATAATTTCTTTTTCGATGGTTAAAAATATTCGTCAAAAATAAATCATTATTTTTCTAAAACCAAATCTTTCAAGACCATAATGTCATTTAGCTATACTGTGGTGTTTCCCTTCTCTCTCTCTCTCTCTCTCTCTCTCTCTATATATATATATATATTTTTTTTTTATTTTTTTATTTTTTTTTTTATCTTGCTTTGGGATTGCTTCTTTATTTATTAATTTTTACAATTTTATTTTGATTTTTTCTCAAGTAAATGGATATTCAGCAGTACTTTTATTTTTATTGATATTGGGGAATTGAAAACGAATTTAGATGATGACATGAGAACATCCAAAATCATAAATGTGGAATCAAATTTTAATTTCAATTGACATATAATATTAAACATAAAAAGATGAAAATAATAATAGCTAAGAGAAAGTTAAAAAATGTCGAAGTCAAAGTTTAATTCAAGTGGTAGGATCAGTGAAACCATACTCGATTATTGGCCTTAGTTTGAGCTCCTTTGTGATGATGAGTGTCACATAAATGTCAAAAGATTTTAAAATCAACAAGAATGTAAATAATCAAACAATTCAAAACAAAATATTTAAGCTCCTTCAAATAAAAAAGAAGACACATTATCAAACAATTCAAAATAAATATAATTTAACAAAAAAATTAACTTTTTTCTTTAAGTAATGAGTAATTTTATATAATATTAGTGGTGCATATATAATTCAATTTATGTAATAGTGAGATTATCATCATATTGTCAAATGACGTTATAATGCATTTTATCCATTAGACAATGTAATATGATCTCCCTACCACCTAGATTGATATTAAGCACCACATGTATCATTAATCTAGAATAATTGGACAATTAATGTTCATAGTTTTGCGACATAAGCATTTCACAAGCTAATTGAGTCTCATTTTTAGTGTAGACTTACATAATTCATTTGAATGAATAGCGTGGTAAACATTATAAAATTACTGATTATAATATATTCATCTCTAATAAAGGTTGTTGCGCCTCTACTTACATGACAAGCCATGTGACTGCTAGCTAAGCAAGGTCGCCACTTAAGTACTCTTTGAGGTGGTAGCCTAACTTTTCAAGTGATGCGGATCATCCCAACACCTTATAGACATAGCTTTCGAGGCCACGTAATTTGGCGCACGATTATCATTTTTCTCCTTTGAGATGAACTTTGGATTAATAATTCTAAACGGCCTAACATGGGTCTCCATGGCCGAATCAAC